TATATGTGTGTGTATATATGTGTGTATATATATGCATGTGTATATATGCATGTGTATATATGCATGTGTATATATGCATGTGTATATATGTATGTATATATGTATATATGTATATATATATTATTTAGCTCTTGTTCATTTTCTCAATGTCATGTTTTAGATATTACTTGCTGATAGAATTTTAAGCGACAGCATAGAGAGTGAGCGACAGTGCTCATCATAGGATCTCTGGAGTTGGTCTTGATTAGAGTTACGGTGTAATTAAGGTATTGACGCGGATGATGAAAGCAGGTGTGAATCCCACTCATCTCCGGAGGCAGAAATCTGAGTGCTGGCTGGCTGTCCCACAGGTGCCTCATTAAAATGTAGCTAATCTTTTCGGGGCTCTTCAGCCATTCAGCTTGTGGTGCGAATGAACCCGGGCAATGATGTCAAGTGGGTCCCTTTGAAGTGCCAGATTCTTATGTCCAAAGTGTGTGTGTGTGTGTGTGTGTGTGTGTGTGTGTGTGTGTGTGTGTGCGCACGCACACACACACACACACACACAAGTGGAGGATGACGTCATCGATTAGACAGAGATCTCCAGCACTAACATAGTTCAGCCAGCAGAGGGAGCCATGTCATGCCGGTAGAGTCTCTCAACAGCAGCACAGAGGCTGTGATGTGATGTGAGTGGCTGCCTTTGACTTTGGGAGGCATCGCCACCAGACTGTAGTAAAAAGGAATTTGTTCATCTTGAGGATTGCCTTCATGAACAATTCATGTTTCCACATGCTGTTATTGGTTTGATTGTCAGTCATGGTGGCTGTGAAATTGAAGAATTTAGGTTCATTCAGTTGCTTTTAAGTGAGAATGTGAAGCTTTTGAAGGACAAAATAACACAATCTCCCTTCTTTTATACAATCGTTTTCAAAAGCAGTAAAACACGCTCTCGCTGAATTCAATACAGGAATTTTGCTGTTGCTGTGCAGCGCCACCTGGTCCTTCCAACTTGTGTTATATATTGTAGAATTATGACAAAGTCCTTTATTTATTAACATACAAATTCCCCTTTGGAAATCAATTTAGTCATTTTATTCTGTTGGCAAACTTTTAACTGATCATTGCCGTGTTACTGATTATTACTGTTATTGTATCAGTTTACTTTCCATTATGACTCCATGTTTTAGCACGCCGCAGATAACTATATCAACAGTTTTATCACAAAAGTGCACATTAAAGCTCCCCAACAGATATATGGAGGCTTCTTTCCTGCTCGCGTCTCCACAGACAGACGCCGTCACTCTTCACCACAGGTGTAACAAATGTCATTAACGACGGCTCGGTTCCATCAGTTGTCTCAGTAAGCCGCGGCAGTGAGCTGGCATGCACAACGCCACCGCCCTGGAACTAGCTCACTGAAATGGAAAGCGCTGGTTATTTGGGATATCGACATGTCACAACGTCTGCTGTGAAAAGGGTCTGTATAGCTTCCACAATCTGGATCTAAGCTGCTTTTGAGTATACAGTGTGCACACATAGGATATAATAGAAATAGAAAAAGTGTAAAGAATAGACGATATCAGACAGTATCATGCCAGAAAGGATCATTTTTTTTGAGTGCGCTGTTAGACGCTGTTGCTGTTGCACGCTGTTCTCCCACAATTTAATCTTTGGAAAAATATTGCGACATCTCTTTGTTAAGTTGAATTTGACCGTCGCAGTTTGAACGTCATTGATCGATGTCACACATAGTGTATCATTTCCATTAGTATAAAATGATACAAAATCATGATTATGTGTACTGCCAAAACAGTATATGAGACCATTTTTATGTAATATGGATTTGGGTCCTAATTACTTTTCCTAATCCATATTTCTACACCCCCAAAGAAAAGGATCACATGACTATGAGTATTGTGAAAGGGAGTTGCTTGCTGTGACAAACCCAGTCTTCAGTTCCCCACAGCTCTACGTTTGGTTCACTTTCACCGCTCTCATGGCCTCGTATTCGGTTGCAGCAGGCAGCGGTTGTCAGAGAAAGAGCACCACACAGTGAGCGACCAGCTGGTGATCTTAGTGGAGCGTTCAGCAGCTAAGAGGCTAAAAGGAAGGATACAATTGAACTTACATTTGTCGAGTGAACAGGGATTTCAAATGAAATTCATGCCGATGCTGCTCCATATCTGCAGTGAATAAGTAACTGCTCATTATCATGTTTGCCACAACCAGCTTATAAGGTGATAATATGTCTATTTGTGCTTGTAGCTTGGTCCGCTTCTCTGTGTCCTCAAACAAAACAAAAAACCGCATGTCCTTCTGTGTGGCTGCCGTATTAGTAATAACTGATGCGTATTTCTAATACGCTGATTGAAGCAATGCTTCTGTGCATCGTCGCCTGTTGCGTTTCTTTCATGTAACCGGACTTTATTGATACAAGGAAGTTAATGAAGACTATTCTTCTCTCTCCTTCAGAACTTCGGAGACGTCAGCCCGTGGGAGGCTCCTGCTGCCCTTAAAGAAAATGGCTCTCCTGTAAGTATCTTTACAGAGGAAATACATCAGTGTGTGTGTGTGTGTGTGTGTGTGTGTGCGCGTGTGTGTGTGTGTGTGTCCCTCCATGCGTGTATGACTCTCCTGTTATCGAATGTGCTGTAGGTAAAAGCCGGGACCCAGGGGAGGGAGTCTGTTGTGTCCCCGCTGACCATCACCGCTGAGAACGTCACCTCGGCAACCACAACTCAAGTTACCAAGGTAACACCTCATCTGTTCCCATGGTTACAGTGTAATGACTGGAGCTCGGAGTCAGCCCACCACATCTGTGTCTTTTGGTTTCATCCGTCGTTGTCGACATGTGGGAGTGGATGACCTGATTCGGATAGATGTAAATATTTGTATTGATTTATTGGCGTATGAATGATGAGGGGAAGGATATATTTTTAAGATTGAGTTGACACAAAATATAATGTAACAGGCTTTACATTAATATAACAATAACTCTACTGAGAAAATGATCTGATACACAAAATAATACTACAAAAAAATACTGGAAATACTACAAAAATAACAATACCTTTGATTACTTATTTTGTCTTCCATAAACTGACAGTTTTAATTGTTGGTAATGAGTCGTTAAATTTCATTTGTCCCTGTATGTGTTCTGCAGACTGTGAAAGGAGGCTACTCGGAGACCAGAATCGAGAAAAGGATTATAATCACAGGAGACGATGATGTGGACCAACATCAGGTGAGAAGGAGAATAACCGAAAAACTGCAACACACACTCTGTATGTTCAATAAGTCACAAGGCACAGGGAGCTCATATGTGAGGGTTATGACCCATGTTATGACCCCCTCATGTCTCTCCAGGCCCTCGCCATGGCCATCCAAGAGGCCAAGCAGCAGCACCCCGACATGCTAGTGACAAAAGCAGTGGTGATCAGGGAAACGGAGTCTCCCACTGAGGAGCTGCAGCAACAGCAAGCAGAGGTACGTGACTCCTACAGTGTCGACGGTCCGGCCATGTGATCACGAGCGCCAGTTACAAGATCGCTTCGCTTCGTGTGATCGGATCGATTATTGAACGGGTTTAGCGGGCTCAGGGGGCCCAAGGTTTCAGAGGATGTCATAACATATGTCATAGTGAAGTATGTCATTAAAAAGTCATATTGTCTCATGAACATAATAAAAAAGTCGTAGTATAGTATAGTTCACATTTTTGTGCCCGGATGGTATTTACCCATCGTCTAATGTCCATCCTTGCCCATGCGCTGTGATGACTAATCTGTATTGCTGTTTGTCTCGTTTGCAGTCCTGATCGGCCATGGTGGCTCCTGAGACGGGGCAGGGGGGACAGGAGAGCATCCTCCAGCTGCGCGTCTCCTGGCCTGCTCCCCCCCCCCCACCCGCAGTACGCCACCACCCAGATACGAGGGCTCTCTACCCCGCTTGTGGAAACACCGAAACAACACCAGACTGCGCTCCATGAAGCAGTATACCTCCGCTCCCGTCCATTCAGACAAAACCAACTGTGACTCGGCCTGCGACCCAAACCGGCCCCTCGTCCTGGCCCGACCCAGCCTTCACCAGCCCTCCGCCTCATTATGGAACAGGAAAACGCTTAGTATAAAGAAGTGGAGTAGTCACAGCTATTTCAATTCACCTCTGTTGGAGTCATTTGTCTGAAACTTGACTTGCATATTATTCAATCTAATACTTTTTGATTCCCTTGAACCATGAGCGTCATTCGAATCGATGAGTTTTCAACCCCAAACTCCCCCACCTCGCCCCGACACCCTTCCTTCACAAATGACTACTTTGAATTGTGAGGTTCCCAAACATGTGTCCCATATGAAATGAATGAGGTATAAGAGCGGGGGGGTTGAGGGAAAGGATGGGGACAACGCTGGCGGCTGGGAGGTCGGCGGCAAGCGGCTTTCGCTTGATTGTTGCCACCTCCCGGCTGCCACACCTTCAGTATAATCAACAGCTGTCTTATTAGCTTTTTACATTTTTATCTATAGAGGATCTAATTTATGTCCAGTGTTTGCTTGTTTATGAAACATGTATAATATCAGATAATCTGCATGATTCAATCAAAAAAATTATAAAAAAATAGCAGAGGGAATGAAAAAAAATCAATAAATCAATAAATACACAAACATGTCCACATTTGAAATCCATAAATAACTCCGACATGATGGGACTGAGCACCTGGAGAGAAACTGTATAGATCGCTGGGGCCAATGCGTAGTGGACACGTGAGCGATGTGGACGGAGTCCACTGAGGAGGGACAGTTGTGGAACACTTCAGTGGACAGCTGGAACCCCGACATGCAACCGACACTGTCCCGGTCCCGTTCACCGTTACCGTTTTTATTTCGACGTCAACTCGCCTTCCACGTTTAAGAAATGCTGGTCACACGTTTCGGGCACAGTCATAGGATTTTTAGAGATATTTTAATATAAATAATGTTTTATCTAATACGTTCCAGAAATGTGCTGATGTGTTTTCTTTTGATTTTACTGACTTCCATCATGAAACAGAGATTGCACGTGATTCTTGCGCTTTTGGACGTTTCAGGCTTCATGTGTGAACACGCTGAAACCTCTCGCTGAGAGAGCTTCATTGTAAAAACAGATCTTACAAAGTTAATCAGAGAGATCTTGCCCGGAACTAGAGAATCGTTTGCCCAAATTGTGAAGTTGTGCTGCATTGAAGAGAAATGCAGTGATTTGGGGGACAAATCTTTTAGTCGTTTTTTTTTTTTTTGTTGTGCCAGTAATATCATGTTTGTTTATCATTTGAAATATTTTTGGAGTATGAAGATATTGATGATAGCGGCTTTAAACGGCAACTTAAAAAGAAGCTTTTAAAGTTCGTACGTGCATGTTCACAAACACTGCCTGAAATGTTTCAAACCACAAGGCTAACATGGGTACTTTATTTGTTTTTTTTAAATGTTGGATTAACTCTTTTAAGTTATGGTGTATGAGTTTCTAATTGTATTTATAGGAGTGGTGAATGTGAGGCCTGTGCTCCCCCCCCCCCCGTTCCCCTGACAGACTCATAGTGTGACATACCCCCGAGCGCCGTCCATCCACGTGACCCGTCGGCTGTCACATAGCATATAACCTGGATGACCTTTAATAATATACTATGCATCACTTAATCATCCATAAGGACCCGCTGTGATGGAGCCTGACCCATGTTAGCCGTCATTGTTACCTTTGTGCTAATGTCAACCGAAAGCGGTGAAGCGCACTCACTGCTTGTAAAAAAAAAAAGAATTTGCAATAAGCAGCCATTGCTCGTGTCCTCTAAAGGGAGAAAACTGTGAACTCTCATGTGTAACCCAAGCGTAACCAAAACCTATAACACAGAGTTAGCGGTATTCAAAAGGAAGCTTTTTTCCCGACACTTTGTGACCACGGCTTTGTCGTCCCATCCTCCCATCCCCTGACTTGAACCTGTCGACCCCTGCTGGTGATGTGTCTGAGGAAATGAGATTCACAAACTGATTATTTGCATTTTTTTTTTTGCTGTTTTTCTTTTTATTTCTTCTTTTTTTTATTGTCATATGACACTGGACTGTTGTGAAGGCACTTGCTTGCATTGACAGCAGCACATACATGTACTGTAAACTTGTTGAAAAAAAACAAAAAAAACCTGTCTGTGCTGTAGGACCGGACACACTACTGATGGAAGACGGACGACTGTAGGCATCAGGAGAGAGGCTGTGGGTGAGGTGGTGCGTTGAAGGATGGAGGGCCTCTATATATATATATATACATATATATCTATATATATGTAGATATATATACTTCTGTGTAGTACCCTGTAAACTATGTATAAATTGTCAGGAGCAGGGATGTGTTTTTAGGCTCAAGAGGTGAGGCAGTAGGTGTAGTCGTAAGGAGAAGCAGTGCAATTGAAGGTGTCTCATGAACGGGTGCCTTATGTTTGGGGTCGTGGTTATGAGAGCTGCAGCCACAGTTATCAGAGCTCCGCCGAAAGCACCGTGAATCCACGAGGCAGACGTGGAACCGACCTCCCCCCTCAGGGAGCAGAGGAGCTGGTCTTACAAAGTGAATTATTGTCTTGTAAAGAATGTGACATCAAGCGTAGAAGTCTCTGAATTTTGCACCGTTGAGTCCTCAGCAAGATGACAACATGTATTGGCCCCATTAATGTGGAAAAGCAGATGAGTTCAGATTATGGATATGAGGTCCTTTTGTTTTTTTCCTGAAGAGCATCGAGCTGCGCTGCTGTTTAGCCTCCACCTTCAAGTCTCCACTGCCTTTTGGCTCTACATTCCCCCTAGTGCTTGGTGGTGTGTATTTGCTGTATTTGCATTCAGTCTAAATGGAAAACATACACGCATAAATAAATGTCTCAGTATGATTCAAACACTGTCTCTGATTCCACAAAGGAGGGGCGAGGGATTGCACTTTGAAGTGGACCGTGGGGGAAATGTATTCTTTGTTTACTTCATTACGCCAGTAATTCATCGTATGTAATACATTGTTTTTGTAACGGAGGGTAGTGTTGTTGTAGTGGAGCAGAAGGGAAATGTCCTTGGTCTGCGCTGCCATCTCGTGGCTTAAACCAGCACATAGAGGTAAAGAAGTTATGTATGTGCCGTTAGTGCCATCTAGTGTATTTCCTGCTTCACTTCACTCAACATATAAATGGACTTCACTCATGCGTTTATAAAGGCCACAGATTACCAGCATTCCTGTATTATTACATGAACGATCTGACACAACGTATACAGAAGATTTACCACTTTTGTCCACTTCTCCTTAAAAGAGGACTTCACCGGTTATTAACACCGAGATCAGTTTACCGGTCATGAGTATTACCAAGTCTATGACGACAGTTGTGTAATGTGTTATGTGTGGAATCAAAATAGGGTCAAGAGTAAACATTTAGTTTGATTGCATTCAAATGTGTGCAAGTAGATTGTAACCATGTATTTTTGACCCTATGTAGTCCGCTCCTCCTAAATAGCCATTGGGGAGCTCTGATTAACATCTGATTTGACTATCCAATCAGGAATATCATTTTAAAGTTGTAGTATATTATGTAAAAGAAATTCACAAGAAAATAAAATGTCATGGAATAATATGTTGAAAAATTAAAAAAAATATTTTTATAGAATTTATAGAATAGTCACTCGCACTATATCTCAAAAAAGTCATAAAAAAGTCATAGTATAGTCTCGAATGAAAAAAAAATGTCAAAAATATCATGGTACAGTATGTCGAAAAATAAGTAAAAGTAATTGAATAGTATTTCAAAAAAAGTGATGGAAAATTAATCATAATATGTCGAACTATGTAAAGATTATTTTATAACTCTTAAGGCATACTATACATGGAGAGACATTAAGCTTATTTTGGAATTTTATGGCACACTGTACTATGATATTTTAAGGACTCATATGGCTTACTATATCATTTTGTATTACATTTTATTATATTTTTATTGAATACCAAACTGATGATATTTTTAAAGACATTTTGAATGCATACTATAGGTATATTACATTTTTTTCTATAACGACATACTATAATCATGATTTACGGACGTATTCTATGTCGTAAAACTAAACTTTTAAATCTGTCAAGCTTGTGTTAACTACAGACCTTATTTCAGCCATCTAACCAAAAACCCATTAAAAAAGCCTATTGACTTTGAGACAAGGGAAGCAGAAGTGCAAAGATGCTGACTCATTTCTGGGTTTAAGGATTCATTTATCCTGCAGCACTTTATGGGTCCATAGATGGTTGGACGATCCGGGGAATTTTATCACTCGCACGTCGAGCCATTTTGCCTTCACTGAGCATTTAGGGATGAACGGGAGCCCGCCTCAAAACCTGTACTCGTAGGTTTGATTTGTGCTTGTAGGATTGGTTTTTATGTGTAAACTTGAGATTTATACATCCAATCAAATGATGTGGGACCTTTTTTTTCCACCCACAAACATAAAGATGTTTAACTGCAAACCTTTTTTTGTAACCTTTGTGCAAATCGTCTTGCACTCACACATTGGAGTTTTTTTGTGCAGATCTTCGTTTGTTCACAAAATGTCACGCACAGCTACAGATCTCCTTCCTTCAGATATTTTTTGAACACATTCAAATCTTTGAATTCAGTTGTTCAGGATGTTTTTACACATTTGAATGTATTCAGACATAATGTCTGCACACATTCAGATATGGTGATTCACAATCCTTTTGTCCCTATTTTGATTCTAGCTCTGTGGTTCTGGGGGAGCTTTGTCAAGTCTTAGAAAATGATCCCTGATGATGTCCTAGTGATGTCATATAGGGGGTTATCCCAGGCTGGGTTTTAAGGCTGCACATTTTGAACAGAAAGCCTGTGGGATGTGTAGTTTGAAAGGAGAGGCCATTTACAACGCAGGAAGTGTCTGATAAGGCAGCAACCTCTGGTTTTGAAATGTAAGGCCAATGAAGTGCTTTGTATTCTTTCTAATGACCATCAGGGGGCGACTCCTCTGGTTCAAAAATAAGTCAGATTGTATAGAAGTCTATGAGAAAATGATTACTTCTCACTTGATATATTACCTCAGTAAACCTTATAAACATGAGTTTATGGTCTCTATTGCTATAGTGTCAAGTCTTCTTCAACACAGCATGATGTTCATTTAGTATATTATGGTCCATTTAGAGTCAAATAGACCATAAAGCAGAGTATGCTTTAGGGCGGGGCTACCTCATGATTGACAGGTCGCTGGTCGCAGGTCATTATGAGAAGTATAGGATCCATTGTTATTGGAACTTGACCCGTACTAGGGACTAAAAGTTGCAATTTGTAGTCCTTTGCTGTTTCAATTTGAGCAGTGCCATAATAAATCAGTGGAGTGCACCTTATTCTGAACAGAAGGCGAGCACAGGAAAAGAATATTCCTATTTGTCAGTCCTCATATTATGTATTGACGGATCGACCCACAGAGCTTGACATTGTTCTATAAATCAATAATCTTTATTAACACAGTATAAACAACAAACAGCAACAGAGGAAACCCTCATGTAGAGCCAGAAGACCCAGTACATCTCAGAGGGGCTGACTGAGACAGAAGCATAGACAGGGGGCTCCATGGCACACATACAGTATACACAAACCTTTCAGATGCATTAACCTTGCCAAAGCCATTCAGCCGATTTGCAGATTGACAGGAGAGAGAAGAGGACAAAAGTACAGTCATGCTGAGCAACAGTTAGCTACAGTATGAAACAGAGTTATTACATAAAAACCAAGTAAATCATCTCTTTAGAAAGGTTCTTTTATATAAATGATTTGAAGTGTACAAAACAGTATATTACACATTTCTCGATGCATGATTCTGAGCAGGACCCAGTAGCCTACAGCACACTTCCCTTCAAAGTACAAACTACTGAACTGGATTACAAGCTACATACAGACTGCACTGTACCTCTGTAGCACAGCAGTCCCACATGGCATCAGGAGACGATGGGAAAAGGAAAAAGATCAGCAGCATTGTCTTTTAATAATACACACCTATAAAAATGCATCAGGCCTCATATATTGCCAATATCCCATGCGAAATAGCAGAATGCCATTCAAACTAACCTTGGTATCCTCGGCAGCGCACAAAAGACGCTGCCACACCCCCCCTTCCCCTACCTGATCCCAATCACGTACAATATCTTTCTACGCAGCAGCATGTAAACATCACCGCGGCTGCTTCGTCGTTCTATGCTTCTAATGTTTTTGATATACATATGATAAGTTAAGGCTCTTTAAGGACCTGAGGATTTTGAACATATGATGAGGCACACAGAAGGCAAAGAATAGCTCTAGACATTAGGGCTAACTGAAAGGATGAGGAGCATGAGACAGCCACGAGGGTCCGGTCAGCAGTGCAGTACAATGGCCAAGGTAGAAGAACCCAGGGGAGATGCTCTCCAAAACAGCATGGTGCTATTTCTGGGAACCAGGTCAGTAGCCATCATTTGGATGGCTCTAAGGACCCCATCGACTTTTTGAGAGTTGTTGGTCACCTTCCCTGAGAGGACTGGCACAAAAGAAAAATGACGCTCTAATGCGTTTAGCATCCAGCATGATAAAAAGAACAGATTGTTCCCCCCCCATGCCATTTGTATGCTGAGCAAGTTAATTTAGTTAGTACATGAAGCGATCCCTTCTCCTCTTACTTATGTCATTTCCAGTTCAGCGGAAGCTCCCAAGAGGCTTCAGCATTCTCCTGTTGGTGAAATCACGTGGGTATCTTTGTACGCGTCGTAGTAGTGTAAGTTTATTGTCAGTGTATGATCCTAGCAACAGACTTAATGCATTCCTCTGCTGCGCCTCAGCAAGGAAACATTTGGAAGAACACAATAAGGATGAGAGCTACTTTGGATTTAGCTAACTAAGACGGCTCCAGCCTCTTGCTAGCCCCCGTCTTTCTCAGTGTGGTCCTACTGCAAAGGGCTTGTGTGAACAGGAGTAGGGCTCGGTACTCCCTATCTTTAAGGTATCAACCGGAATAACCCAGTGCCTAGTCGTATCAAATCTTCTTCAGCGAAATGAGACCAGCATTCAATCCTTTTTGTACCCAGAGCTAGAATAAAACCCAGACTATTTGTGTGGTTTTGCTTCATGCCTGTGTGATTGGACCACTACCGCAGCAGCTACAACGCATACAGGCCGTGCTGCCGAGATGCCACTAAAACTTTAGAAAGTACGGCTCTACCACACGCCTGTGGCCTCTGATAAAAATAAATGCAGTGGTGACGGCAATTTTACGCAACTTAATGCTTCCATTCACATGATGGGTATCGAATGAAGTAGGAAAAAATGTATAAAATGAAGTACTATTTGTATCTGTATATTAGGAGTACTAGTTTACAAAGACTCATAACTCAATGTACATATTGTATGTGGGTATTACATTTGGACTATCCCTTCCTGTATTATACGTCATTAGTGCCAGTTAGCATTATCTGATGTAGGAGGATAACGAAGTTAATATAAATTAATATTGTTTTTTTTATAATTCTACATTTTCTAACGATTCATGACATATATATGACAAAAAAAAAAAATTCTTAGTCCACTTGATTAGAGAAATCTATTTTGATAAAACTAAAGATGGCTGACTTCATCCAGTTTGCTAATGCTAACACTTTACTAGTGTGCTAAAGCATTAGCATGTGCTGTCAAGAGATGTTAAAGGCCAATCCTCTGCTCACCCACAGTACTCGGTAAGATGACCAATAACGACAAAGACCCATGTCGATGTAGTCCTTCCAATGAAACATTTGTGACATATTGCAGAAACAGAGATGCAGAGATGTAACACAGTAACAGTTAATAGTTCATTCACTTGAAGAAAAAGCAACTACCCTGGTCTGTGAGAACCAAAGTCACAAGTATTTCCTTATTTTTAGAAGATAAACGGTGCACCGTCGAATCACATTCTTAACCTCCAGGCTGGAACATTGGATGTTAGTTGCCATGCACTTCATTGTTCTCGCACCAGTTAGCCCAGACGGACTTCCGATTGATTAAGGAAACAAACAAAAAAACTCTATAAAAGCTCAACATGTCATACAAAAAGATGCATATAAGACATTTTTCTCTTCATTTTTTTTTCTTATGAAAGCTGCTTTGGTAACAACATAGTCACGACATCGCTCAATCTCCTTTACTTAGCCTGGTTGCTGAAGGGGACTCCTTCCCTATCATCTCAATGGCGTATTTTTTTTAATTACATTTTTTTTTTTAAATTTCTTCCTTTTGCCCCTAAAATCTAGATGAATGGATCTAGTTACACCAGAGTGGGCTGTGTTTGTGTTCCGCCGTAGAGCTGTCTCCACATCAGATGCAACGTCTGCTGAGAGCCGTTTGTCATAAAGATGTCCGTGCTGTGAAAGACAGCGCTATTGTACTGAGGGCTGATAGAGTGGAGACCTTGGATGCTGAGCCGACTGCGTTGGGGCCTGAAATGGGAAAGAAAGAGGATGTTAGTGTGTTCGCAGTGGGGGGGGGGGGGAAACACACGGACTTTGTGGCATTTCACTTTGTTAATCGGCCGTCTCTCTAGCCTGCATCAGCTGAAAGCATTCATTTCCAAAAAAAATGCTTGAGAGTTATTATTACTTGAGCAGCGAAATGAGACATTGAAAGTATTCTAAATAAATTGCCCAACTTTTCACGCGACGCTCGCATTACGGTGTCACGTAGATGCCGTAATTACAAAAGTCTCTCATGTAGAGCATTATTTTCCACACTCTCTCTGTTCCTTTTGGAGATGATGAGAGCTAATCTGCTCCGGCACGACAGCAGCAGGGGAGTGGATTATTCAGCTCAGCCACGAGGGAGGCGTCAACTATCTCTCCACTGACCTGGTATCCTTGGGATGGTGATCTGCCTGCTGCTGCTGCCTTCTCCTCCCTCTCCGAATGGCTTTATCTGGATGATGTAATCCTCATCAGTGGGAAGGGCGAGCTCCACAGAGGTCGTGTTGGTTTCCATGACGTTGGGGCGGCTATGTCGATTCTTCTTGTACAGCACCTGAGGACGAACGGTGGGCGTCAAGTCAAGAGTCGGCGTGCGGAAGCAAATAGCCGCAAAACACAATTTTCTGATAACACCGAGCAACTGAGTGCTTACTTTGTAACCGGTGACCTCTGACTCGTTCTCGAGGGCCTTGACCTGCTCCCAGTTCAATATAATCTTGGAGTTTGATGTGTTCCACATCACTTTAACTGGTGGCTGACTGGGCGCTGAGAGCAGAAAAACATTATTCACCTCAATGAAACTTTGAACAGTGTCAGAGAGTGACCGGCAGTTATAATTAGATCTGGTACTTACGTGGTTTCTTGGTGGTAACGTTGACCGTGGCGCTGGGAGGCCCCGTTCCAGCAGTGTTATACGCCCTCACCGAGATGTAATACGCCGTGCTGCCTTTCATCCCGCGGATAATGGTAGATGTTTGATTTCCAACAGTCTTTTGCACACTGGCCGTGTCTTCCCTTTCACTTCTACTCCAGTACCTCAGCTGAAAAGCAATGGGGCAGAACCGCGGACGTGAACGCAGAAAACAAGACAGACACCTTAAAAGCTTTCTGTTACACCCTGCCGATGAAGTGCAAACTGGCAACTGGGAGATGTGAACTCAACTGGATGAAAGATGTGAATTGGTCTGCTTGTGTGCTCATCAGACATGTGTCACGGCCTAAAGTTATGTGGTAAAGAGTGAGGTCAAAAATGCATAGAAAAAGGAAAACAAAGAGTAAAAAGAATCCTCAAAAAGCCCCTGCCATCAACTTCCACCAGAGAACAGATTTTCTTTGTCAACCCGCTCCGCTTGTCAGGGCTGAAATAGCTGGCTCGCCTGACAGCACAAATATAATTTGTCTTTCCTCACAGTAATGCTTTACTCAGGCCCTGCTCCTCTGTTGACTTTGAGTGGTCAACAGTTTAAAACGCTGGCACTTTATTCAATCCGGGGAGGAAAACAGCGCCTTGTTCACATCTTGGATTTCAATAATGAGCGGAATTAAAATGACAAGAACTAACTGAGCGCAGAGCCAGTGTCTGCAACTGCTTTGTTGTGCGGATTAGAAGCTAAACGCTCTATCCCTCAGAGTATTGCATCAGCACGCTAATCAGGGTGGTTACAGTACTTAGGTAAACAACAAGAGAAACACAACTAAACCCACAGGCATGGGACTAGGCTGGACCATTATGCATGCAGCGAGCTATTATCTCATGTGCCCGAGGTGCATGAGCCTGAAACACTCATCAATAATAAAAAAGAACAAGACTTAACAGCAGAAGTTGCCATGTTGTACATTTGCATCCAATGGAAGCACGCACACGCACACGCACACACACACACACACACACACACACACAAGGTATTTCATTGTAGCTCACCTCATAGCCCAGGACTCTTTTCTTGCTGGCATTCCAGGGCAAAGCTTTCCACAAAACTTCAATCTCGGATGCAGAGAGGCTCTTGGCACGGACCCTGGTGGGAGCTCGGCCAGGCTCTGGAGTTAATACACAAAGACTTAGAAGTAACACCGAGCTTTGATGACCCCCTCAAAGCAGTTTCAAAGCTATTTCTTTCATTCAAACAACAGAGGGACAGAAGTTTGAGGAAGACGTCTGCAAGTGCTGATAGAAGAATGCTGGCTGCTAGATCACTGCTGCCACTGTTTAGATCCTGGATGGATCCGGGCAAGTATTCAAGCATTACACGTGGCAGAGCGAGTAAAGCCATTCCGTCGCATGGTGTAAACAATGACACGCACCTTCCTCAGCGGAGTAGATAGTGGTAACAGGTCCAAACGGCCCCTCCCCCTCATTGTTGTACACCCCGACCTTCACGTGGAAGGGCGAGAAGGGTTGGATGCTCTCGTTTTTAAAGACGTATTTGGATGCTTCAGCGGACGGCACGGCGGCCTGCATCCATCCCGTGGCACCGTGGGGTCGAAAAGCCACCACGTAGCCGAAACCCGGTCCATTCTGCAGCTCCTCGGGAACCGGCTGCGGGGGGAAAGAAAAAACACAATTTAAGCTCTTTAAAAAAAAAAAAAAGACTTAATTTTAATGCAATTGTGTGAATAAAAGCATGATTTAAAACTCTCAATCCATCACATCTATTCAAGCGCAATACATTTAAAAATACTAAAGATTAAAACCAAGATTAAAGACTTTCACAATGCTTTGCCTCAAATATAACATGCTGTGCACACAAAAACTATTACTGGACACATCCATTACACAGCACAGTGCACTCAGCATGATACCATAAACTCAGCTGTAGTCCAGACTGATAACATGGCTCATACATTTATAGCTGCAGACTTCATTCTGGTGGATTAACCCTAAACACTTCACTCTCGTCCACTGAGAGACACACGCTCACATAAAGAAGCACTTCATTTCTTCTTTCTGTTTTAGCCGGTTAGCTATCTCAACGCTGGGCCAGTATCAGTATGGATATGGCTCCTTTGGTGAGCCCTGACTTTTTTTTATATTGAGTATTCTTTTTGGAACTTTCCATGCTGTGGATCATACATTTTATTATTAATTAAAATAAATTATTATTAGGTTATTACATTATGACTCCAATGAACTCATTTACAAATGGCTCTCAAGATATTTTGATGATTGGAAACAATTTGTAAAAGCAAATGAATGGATTGATATGGTGTGATTGAGTCGTGGTGTCCAACAGGGGTCAATTCTGGGACCCTTGTTCCATATTATTAAAGACTTCATCACTGCATCTTCGTCAATGTTTACATTTCTGCTGATGACATTAGTTTGTTTCTTACACATACATACTTGTTCACACTTACTTTTAAATAGATAAATTTAACTGTTTTTGTCAATGAAAAATTTAATTTTAAAAGTCATATTAGTTTAGTTTTCTTTAATATGTGAAAATCAATTGGTATTGTATACACAAATGTGTGGTTTGTTTCTTCAGTTTTGATCAACTTTTATTTGTTTACTCATACCCATGACCGCAGTTTTATCTGGACACTGGTCCTTCCACCAGCCATGGCCCTGCTGACACCTACTACTATCCTTATTATTAACATTATCAACCCTATTACCGATACCATTAGTGCACATTAATGACTTTGTCTCTTCCCCGGAGTCCTTGTGCTTTCTCTCCTCACAGGTTTCCATGGAGCATGGTTTCATCTGGACCCTGGTCCTTCCTCCAACCATGGCCCTGCTGCCTCCAACTGCTAATATCACTTTTATTAATACTCACATTACTATTTCATATTACCGATACCATTAATGCACATTATTGACCTGCTTCTTCACCAGAGTGTCTGTACTTTCTCGCCTCACAGGTTCCTGTGTATCCGGGTGATACCTGGACCTGGTCTTGCCTCCTGCCGTGGTTCTGTCATACATTGAATGTGTTGTAATCCACTTATCCTGTTCTACACATGACATCTATTGCACTTCTGTCCATCCTGGGAGAGGGATCCCTCTTCTGTTGCTCTCCCTAAGGTTTCTTCCTCTTTTCTCCCCGTTAAAGGGTTTTTTGGGGGAGTTTTTCCTGTTCTGATGTGTGGGTTCCGGGACAATAGGATGTCAAATGTGTACATATTGTAAAGCCCTCTGAGGCAAATTTATAATTTGTGATTTTGGGCTATACAAAAATAAATTGAATTGAATTGAATTGAATACCTCACATATCGGTATATTGTCTGGGCTGCAACTTATTCCACCGACCTTATCAAGAGATGTGCTACATTCAGTAATCAGATCAAACACCCAGCAGCGCAATGAATGTTCATTCGATTTCAATAATACAAAATCCACTAATCCACATTTGTATATTGTGGCTCTTTTTCTCCTAATAATTGACATGGAAGTATTTTGTGTTTACTGTTGGCAAATCTATGAGTTTCTTGTGTTTCTTGTGTTCATGTGCAACTAACTATACTTTCCCTTTAGTGCCACCGACACAAGATCTGAACACTGCACAGAAGAGTTCTCTTTATCTAATGTGCAGATTGCGGTGGGTTTAAACCCATTTGACACAAATGACACGAGGGCTCTTTACGCTTTTGCCATCCTCGGGATAAAAGTGAAATGTTCAGCCTCACTACAGGTACTGCATTAAACTTGTAAGAACAAGTCAAAAATTAAAAATGCAACACTGCACCCCTGCTTTTTATTTCCAAAGGAAAATGCCTCAGGAAATTTCAGAGCCGAGGCAGAATTGCGGCTTTGTTAAGCAGAAGTTAGACTTCAATTGGACTCTCGCATATTGAAACATCAACACTGATTCTGTAAAACGTTTCTCAGCGGGGGCTGATGATTTTGAGCAGCCGAAATGAATATAAGCTTTTGGAGCTGGACTGATATGCACGGGCTTTGCAAGAAGGAAAGAGAAAGAAAGACAGAAAGGAAAAAAAACAATTTGAAAAAAAGTTGGGACTTGGAAGGAACCATTGAGTTTAATTATCTTATTGAAACCTCAAAAGCATTTGTCTCTCCCCGAGGGTGACAGCAGCAGTTATTGCCTCTCTGTTCTTAAAAATGAAATGCCATACATTAAGCCGTTCAGCTGTTATTAATGAAACACAGGCCCGGATCCACAGAGAATAATGACGTCTGGCTCCCTCCTCCATGGGTGAGGGGGTCCAGAGCAGGCTCGCTTACCTCCCATGTGATGACTAATTCGGAGCGACTGCCACCGCCTCCGCTCACATTAGCTGGTGTGACCTTTGGAGCTGGAGAGGAAGAAGACAGATCAGCTTAGCCCTGTTGACTTCACACGACGCTGAGAAGGCACATGTAATCATTTTCTATGTCGCTGCTCCCAAACGGAAGAGAGAGGTAACTTTTTTTGCCACGGTGGAACTTCAACGTCTACAAATCCAGTGAGATAGCAGCAGGACTCTCACAGCTGACTCGCGTTTGCAGCCTGTGATGTGATGTGTTTTTTATACCAAAAGGGGCAACAAATACACAAATGTAGCTTATGAGTTTATTATAGGTTCTGTTGATTGGGTTAGTCAGGCTAGCTTTTTCCAGTCTTTATGCCAAGCTAAGCACCTGAGCTATATCTGCATTATAAGACACACATGAGGGTAGTATTGATCTTATCATCTGACTCTGAGCAAGAAATTGTTGAACTATTCCTTTAAGAAAGTAAAGGTATAGATGGACTTTGCTTTGGAAGGGAGGAACAAACAGTAATACGGGAAGTGTTCTTTGTGATCATGTGGTACATACAGGTCCCCTTTGTCCTTGCTTGTTTGGAGGGCTTGCTGGGCTCGCCGGTCCCGATGGTGTTGCTTGCCAGGACTCGAAACTCATACTCCACCCAAGGGCTCAGGTCTATTACTGTAGCCGTCAGCCGGTGGCCCCCCACCACCTCGGGAACTGGTACAAAACACACAGAGCCCCCTTCAGTCTCAAACAACTTTGTGTATGTGTGTGTGTGTGTGTGTGTGTGTGTTTTCACTGTTTGTGTGTGTCAGCTTAGCATCAGTAGCAGAATGACCTCCAGGCTGACACACATGGTAGGAGTCCACCACAGGTACATAGGACAGTCGTAATCCCTCACAAGGACACATAGTGCACACACTAACTCCAACAAACATGACAACAACAACACAAAAATACCTCATATGAGGAAATACACTGACTATAAACTTTCTAATCAGGGGGTATTCATTTTCTTCTGTTGACAGAGGAGCTCCGTCTACCTGCAAGGTCTTAATGTAGTTATGTTTCAAACATATGATCCTGATGTGGTAAATCAATGAGGCCTTCAAAGTGCCCTTAATTTTCCAAAAATATCAATAATACAAGGTATACAGTACGTGATAAATGCACATTATACCAATCATGCTTGAATGCTGAGCTCCATTTAAGAGGATGTCGGGGGAAAATTACGCCGGCGCTATCACTTAACCACACTATCAAATTGCAGTCACGGCAACAAGCTCCATCATCGGGATGAGATCCACGTTTCAGGATTCCCAGGTGTCCGATAAAATGGCGGTCAATGGTCATGCTACAATAGCGTACCATTTGGGGCCGGGGTAAAAATTACATCTCCAATATCCTCACAGGCGAGGCAGAATGAAGAGCAGACCCCCTCCATGTGATTGGAGGAGGCCACGGCTGGTTGGAGAGAGCTTACCTGTGGTGACAGCCTGCCACCCGAGGGAAAATGGTGTCCTGGCCTGGATGGTGTATGCCGTAATTGGACTGTGATTATCGGGACCAGGCCTCCAGGACGGAGAGGCTGTGGTATCAGTGATTTCTTCTACATGGATGCTGGTGGGGGGCCCCGGGGGACCTGATAGATGGCATAGCCAGGCAGCAAAGAGGGGAGGAGGATAAGAGAGACAGACGGAGGAAGGAGGAAGAGAAGGAGGGGGGGGAATGTAAATCAGGAGGAGATGGGAAGATGGTGGAGAGAGTGGCAGTGATTTTAGCACCTGCAGCTACTGCTGCGAAGTCAGTGAAACCTTTGGGAGCTATTTGGTATAATTAGACAGTAAATTTCCTTTAAGCCTCGGAGAGAGAAATTTCGGTGTGCCTCCCTTTTCATTCTATCCTTTTATTTCTGCGTCGGCGAGGCACAACTAGTCACAATAAATAAACACTGATCACTAACAAGCTCCCTTCCTTTCTTCAGCAGCAGGTGAATGATAAATTATTTAACTGTTTTGAAACACTAGTAATCTGGTCAGTGGACATTTCCAAATTGAAGCATGTTCCTTCTCAGTGAAAGCGAAAGGTGGTTAAAGGAACGTCGTGGCTCACCTCTGACAACCAAGTCGGCGGCGATGGAGATGCTGTCCACCTTCGTCTGCACGGCGCACGTGTACTTCCCTGCATGCCTCAGCTGGATGTTTCGAATCATAATGTCTCCTGCCGAATGCTGCTGTCATTCAACACATGCACAATCACACCCACACCCACACCCACACACACACATAAACAACACGGTAAGCCTCCAGCTATTGTAATTCAAGAACAATACTGACTTTCCCGGCCACATGGGAACAAAACCAGCTGAACGGAAAGCTTATTCTCATGTATGTGCATCTTGAAAAATAAATCCATAATTCCCCATGCAGCCTTCCCTTCCATATCCTTAAAAAGGCCACAGAAATACCTCTCTATATTGAGCAAACTCCATGCCTTTCTCTTAATTACAGAAATGTACTTGCTCAAATAGCTTGATTTTGCTGCAGCAGTTTCAGTTAAGGAGCAGCCTAATGGCTGCTCTGACAGTTAGTTATTTAAGGGAGCCTTTTATTCCAGCTCTAATTGCAATCCCACACTCCTTCATTATCATTTCATCAGAGCAAAGCAGGTTGGGTAATATATTGGACACGCAGAAGGCTGTGGCACAATGGCAGTAAGAACACTTTGGAGTGTGTCTGGTAGCTTAATCAAAGTAAGTGCAGATGTGAAGCAATGCATTAGTGAGGCTGTAAATTATGGTATAAGAAGCAACTGAATCATAGAAGAAACAGGAAAGACAACTCAGTGCTGGATTTGTTTTTTCTCTATGCCTGCAGTTTCTGAAGGAGCCTTGAATCTTTTTTTTTTTAAGGAAAAAATAAGCCTGCGTAACACATGCTGAGATGTAAGCTGCGAACCTCTGAAAGTATACAGCGGCTGACTGAGACTGGTTGCAGTGTGTTGGTTGCAGTGTGTATGTAAATTTCATTTTTTAAATAAACCACAGGCAGCAATTTTCCTGCCCATAAATAACACACTTGATACAAACATTCCCTCTGCACTGCGGCTGAATTTATTATGACCCTGGTAAAATAGAGAAAAGGTACAATATTGATGTACCAATGAATCTTCACAGTCACCTCTTGACCTTTATTCAATGGAATCTCTGAAGGGGCTGGGAAATAAATCAATGTCTTTTATGTAGCAAAAGGGCACAGTCACACTAATGAAATGAGCATTCTTCAACACACCACAATATGGTTTGATTCTTAATTATTCATTGTGTATTCCGGGTCATCGGAAAAAACCTGGTGTAAAAAACTGGGCATCTGAACGACATCGTTGAGGTTTTGCACATATTGCAAAAGTAATGCGTGGAAAATGCTCGATATCCAAAGAAGTAAACCTGTCAGCAATGTGCATGCAGTTTGCTGGTCAGAGACCCTGATTTTAATAAGGTGGCGGACATAGTTTTGAACAGGAAGTACGTGAGGAAGAAATAACCGTTTTAAGGTAAGGCAGCTCACACCGTTATTGATGAACCTTGCAAAATGTCTATATTTAGGTAATCATTTAAAGTTTCTGTGTGGGACTTGATGACAGCTGATAGAGGTGCAGACTGATGGCTTTAGATGGAATCTGCATCACATCATTACGCTTATAATATTTCACAGGGGGAAAAAAATCAGTTGTGCAGAGTCTCTTTTCATGACATTTTGAATACACATACTAAATTGTGTGTTGGCACAGTTTTATATGCTTGTGTACTTAGCAGATATCTGATGCGGTTTAGCACTTACGTACCATATCTGGCAAACATCTAGCATAGTCACTTATATTTTGTTATGCTAATATTACTTTTACCTTGTAATGCTAACGTTACTTTCATTTGGTAATGGTAACACTATTTTTATTTTGTCATTCTAAAGCTACTTTTAAGGTGTTACGCTAACATTACTTTATTTTGATATGCTAACACTACTTTTATGTAGTTATGCCAATGTTACTTTTTTAAATATGTCAGTCACTTTTATGTTTTTCTGCAAACGTTACTTTTATTTTGTTATACTAATGTTATGTTTATATTTGATATGCAAATGTATTTTATTTTGTTATGCTATCGTTGTTTTTTATGAAATTGCTCCATTACTAAAGAGAGAAAATGTCCATTTCCTGCATTAGCTATCGTGACATTGTGGCGACTTGTTTTCACATACCTTGCTGCAACGCTCATATCCTCAACTGTTTGTAAATTGGAAGCCTGTAGCTCTAACAGAGACACAGCATTTAAAAAAAAAAGGCCTTATAGCCTCGCAGGTTGGCAAAAAAACATTAGAGATTATAGACTTACGCCTCCCACTTTTTCAAAAAATCCACCGTGGCTCCCGAAGTGGATGAGCTGCTCGTTGAAGAACCAGGTGAACTTGAGCTCCAGGGTTGGGTCGTGGCTCACTTGACAGGGCAGGACCACGCTCTCCCCCACGGTGATGTCCAGCGTGGATGGCAGGGTGGTGATGGCGGTCGGCTCTGAAATCACACGCCATGTACGTTTGATCAAAACACACTTTTCTGCCCCCTCTTTTTTACAGGCATTACGATTCAGCACGGGAAGTGGCTTTGCAAAAAAGCCGAGCCCTTCCATCATCCTTATGGATATGTCAGACTCAGTTAATAGAAGGATATATGGGGCAGAGCACACAGCAAACTAGGGCGCACGGCTACAATAACTGGTATTAGTCGGCCTGAGCTCGTCTCTGTGGGGACTCAGAGACGTGTCTCTCCTGCATCCTGAGAAGCCTCCATGTGTTACTGACAGCTCAGCCTTGAACCACCCAACTCTCTCTCTCTCTCTCTCTCTCGATCGCCCCCGAAATTCCCAATACGCACCGCTAGGACAACAGTAAACAGCAGCAAGGCACTTCTTTCAATCGTCGCCACTCTCTTTTCAAGCCTGCAGTGCATTATAATGGCACCGCAAGGGAATAAGGCGAGCGTCCCTTATCTGCACTCGTGTGTGAGGCGGCGGAGGAGGAAGGTGGAAGGACATGAGAGAGGCGAGATGAGTGGGAGAGGCTTTGTTCTCAGAGTGCACAACACCTGTCTCCCTCTTGGGGGTGCTATGATTACTTGGTTGAAATTGCCACTCTGAGCACACAGACTAAATTAACCATGGCAAATGATCACTGGACAGGCATAGATTCATGTAGAAAGTGCCAGCAGTGCAGTCTTCATCCAGAGTGAATTCGATACCTCCATTGTATTGGCCCCCTCCACGGCACACACACTCACCACCACCACCACCACCACCGCGCACTCCCGATGTGATTTATCTAGCCGTTTTCTGATACCAGGCCTAGAATGCTATCAGCTGGTAGGTTTTGTCATATACACAATGAAGGTGTGTCTGAGAGACCCAGTCCTCTATTGCTGGGGCTAAATGGCGAGCGATGGCGGTGCAGTAAAAACGTGGTAATAACACACAGGAGGTATTCAAGAGGCCGCCTCTACTCTGTCTGCTCTGTTTTCTGAAGGCCGACTACACCTTGTAGAACAAGTGCAGGAAATAGAAAACCTAAGGCTAAGAAACACACCTCTCTGTGTTGCAGTGGTTTTTATGACGATACTCTACATGATGTGAGGAGATGGAAATAGGAGGAAACAAAAGGATCAGGGAGGATCTATCGGGAAATACTTTGACCCACAATAAAAAGAAAAATGTACTCCTATCTGCAACATGGAAACATACTGTAAACATGTGTTATTTCTCCAGCAGGATTGGTCTATTTGCCACTTTCCTAACATGAGCTTGGCTCAACGCGGTGTGTGCTGCCCGGCCTCTTGCTGCCTCAAGGGATCGACTGTGACAACGATGGGAATATGCTCCCTTATTACCCTCCTCTGTCATCATTTGTGACAGATTATATGGACAACCAAGGTTGGTTACACAACCACACACTGGGCTCTTGAGTATAATTTGATTGATTTCCGACTTGTATAATGCCTTGTTACCTGCTGCCACTGTAAACGAGGGGATAGTAACCCACTCACTTAACGGGGTCAATTTAGAGACGAGATAGTGCTGAGACAGACCGGGCGCCACCGAGGGAAGTGCTGCTGAGGCGGGTCAAACCGCTGCCGACACGTTTCACTTCGTACGTCCTCCCCACAGTCACCTGGTGTTACACGTCACAGTGTTTAACATGAATAATCGACCGTGAATGAATTAAACTTGTTGAAACCAATGTGTGTCATGTGAAGTGAATAAACAAGTGGTCAAGGCGAACGTTTAGTAGGTCAACAAATTCCATTCAAAAAGCCAAAAAATATGCTAATGGTGGTAACATTTGTGATTGATACTTGTGTTTACTTTGGCTTTTATGAATAAAAAGAGAATAACTGTCCATAGAAAAAGGTTTTAAACAATATGATTTGCCATTGAGGAGATCGTTTTAAAAAATGTGAGTTCCGACTTTGAGTGGCTGCATTTCATCACATTTCATACAGACTGTGTTCTTTAAACAAAATCCTATTGTTCACCTGAACATTTCTTCTATCTTTAAGACAAAGTTTGGTGGAAAAAAAAATATTTATAAACATAAACACATCATTTTGTTTTTGGCAAGACCCTACTAATAACATTAGAACGTCAGAAAAGGGTCAATTGGTTATATTCTTTTTCAGGAAATTGGGAAATGATGATAAAACCTTCCTAAAAAAGAATGACATGGTCTGCAGCTTCAAAATGAGACGGTTTGAGAAAATAAAGCTGCGTTATATGAGGTCTGATAGAGGTTTTAAGATGAAGACCCCCAACATTGTTTAATGCTTAAAGAATGAGACAGATGAATATCTTATTATTCAAGCAACATCAAGTTGGATTACTAACCCTACACAACAACAAGGCAATGAAACCGAGGGAGGCCAAACAGATGACTTACCGACACTGGCTCACAGTGGGAACACTCGTAGAAGCAGCTCAAATACAACATATAGTTGACCAGAAAACATAGCGAGCAAACAGACTCCACGCTCCTCTCTGACAGTCTTCAGCCATCATGAATAATGCTCACACTCCTCTCTGCGCCCCCCCCCCTGTGGAGATCCCCTCCTAGCTTTAATGGTCTGAAGCTGTAATGTGTAAGAGCGTATTCTCCTTGAGTGTATAGACACTGTAGTTTTCCACACGGCGAGTGATGTGAGCTTGAATAATGCATAGAGGACGGCATCAAGGAGCCACGGGAGGTGATCCAAAGGGAGGAGATTCACCCCCAACCCTGCAAGTTCTTCAAACTGAGATTCACGCAGATGACGCGGTGGCCTTTAGGGTCAAGACGAGCACAAAATTGTCGAGGATAATGTTTTTCAATTGGCAGGTCAACGGCCTTTTCTAAAACGGCCGACATCGGGCTGAAGTTCATGTCATTTATCTGAAGGTAAATCACCGTAACATGGATCCCATTCTGAAAAAAAAGCCCTTCAATCCCCAGTGTATCTGGTCACCCCGGGACTAAAGTGTGGTGACCTTCATGAAAAGAAACCAGTTTTTCTACCTTTGCTTTTCATATCAACAAAGCACAGAGGGCTTTCATCAACACAGCACAGACTCCTCCTACGCGCTCCTTTGAATTCCACTTATTTTCCAAAGCACCAAATCAAAGGTCTTTCAAGGACAAAACTTCAATTGCGATAAAAGCCCGTGTACATCGCTCAACAGATGCATACAAGATGCACACTCCATACTGTATTCGTAGGGCTGTGCATGCCGCACATCTGTAGCGACCTGCTGGTGATCACTGACAGATGGCTGCTCATTATTCTTCTATATGGCTGTCAGGAGTCACACATCGCATTTGTCTCACATAGTTGCTGGCAGTCAACACGGACGAGAGGGTTTGCTTTGATAAGCGCCTCCCAGACTTTGATACAAAACTGGAATGCTTTTACATCAAGTAGCTGAGCAGAAGATTCCTCTTCTGTCTTACACGCCAAAAGCCCAAAAAAATTACAAAAGCCATGACCAGTGCTATCTTTCTTGTGTGATATCAAATGTCATGTAATCCCAGAGAATTTTGTTTTTATCTAACAAGATTAAATTGGCCGGTATACTCCATCAGAAGTGCTTATCACATGGTTAAACATCTATGGAAACCTCCTTTGTGACGCTGGAATTGGCTGTGCTGCCACAATGTATGTCTTTTTTCCAAAACTAAAATTCCAAGATCCATGCTCACTTTGTGCTGGGTTTGTGCTGGGTTTGAACTTTAAAGGGAATGTTCAAGGGGAGTGTTCATCTTTTTTCAAATCTATTCATAGATGCTGAACTGAAAGTCAACATCAGTTTAAATGTATGTTATATTTGGAATCATTTCACCACTTAACCTTGCCATCAGACGGGTAACTAAAGCCGTTATCAGTGCTCTCTTCAAAGCCGCAGTCATTTTAACTAACAGAATATGAGAGTTGCTGGTCCACGGCTGCCTTGATCGGATAAGTTGTTTTTGATAGACTTCTGTGAATCTGAAATAACTCTTTCAAACATTGCTAATTGCTGATTTAGTGTGTTAGCATGCTAATGTTTTTCCAATTAACACTAAACACAAAGCACAGCCGAGGCTGATGGGAATGGTGTTAGTTCTTTAGTCATGGTATTTGGTCATAAACCGAAGTATTGGATGAATTATAATTATTACAATTTTAAAGTCACGATGACGCTAGAGGAAAAGTTAAGGGTGTACCACGCGATTACAATTCATCCTTAGGAGAACATATATGTGTGCACTAAATTCTAAAGGAATCCATCCAATAGTCCCTTGTCAAATACCATGAATACGAGTGGAAACATGATCCAATAACCACTTACACAAAATATTCTACTTACTTACTTTCCAAACACCTCCAGAGCAAATGGTTATGAAGATGTGCCACAGTGTTGGAAAGACGAAATGCCTTCTGGGTTAACAGAGGCAGACAGAAGTGAACGCAGTGCGAGCTCAGAAGTTTTGAGTTCGCTGACCATCTGTAATGATCGGAGGCAACCCTAATTGCAACCGCTCATCTCCAGCGTAATCAAAATTCAGGGAGCACGTCCATAATCAAGTGCGATTAATCTGCTAATATCCCTCCAGTGTTGAAATAATGAGGACATTAACAGGGCTCATCTGTTGTGACTGCTCCACCGCTGCTTGTGAGGTGCCTTTCTCACAGCAGGAGACGCCGAACGCCTTTTGACAGGTATTTTTCCGCATTCGCATCACCAAAGTCAATTTGAATAAACTACTGTCGTGTCCCATAAGGGCCGCTCCCGCAACGCACATTTCTCCCCGCTAAACAGGTTTCCGATCCTCAATGAAATAATGCATCTAAATTACCCCGTCCCATTCCCCAAACAATATCGATTGTGACAAGCAAGGCACGAGATCACATACAGGAGCATTCGAACATCAGCAGCAGAAAACAGCCTTAACACATGATGATGGAAAGGAAGCGAAGTGAGAGAGGGGTGTCAAATAAAACTCATATTCCTTTTTCGCAAAAAATAATAAGTGGATAACGGCGCCGTCTCTTTATGCTGAGAAGACATACGCCTGTGTGTTCCCTTGCAGCTTGATTGGAAAATCACATAAAGGCCATCAACCTGAACCTACAGAGAGAGCGGTGGGTCCCACCACCCCCACCCATGCACACTGATTGGCTGGGGGGGGGGTTCTGTACCGGTTTCATTTCGCAGTGTGTGATAAATGGGTAAAAGGAGTGTGTTAGAGTGTAACTGGCAGGGTGTAGCAATGCTGTGCTTTTTATTATGCCTTGAACTCCGGCTCTGCGCTCCAAATATTTTTCACAGCGTGTGAATACGTCCACGTGCAAAAGGTACAAACACACTATCATTTTCTGCCGTTAATTTCCTCACTTCAATTATGCAAAGGTTACTGATTATTATTTATTTGTAGAAAGGCAAGACTCGTCAATAGGATGCAGAGCGAGGCATCAGAATAAATCAGCGGCAAGGTGCACTCTAAGCTCTCCCCACATCCTTGACTGATGCTGACTTCCAGGCATTTATAATATATGAAATCTGTCTTTTATAATTCAACAGAAAAAGGAAACATACCTTGATAGTGATTTACCGAAGAAAGGGCTGGTCTAGTTTTATTTATTTATTTATTTTCATGGTGCGATGCATCTTCTGGTTGAAAAGGAGATCCTGTATCGATACAGGACATTCCTTTTGCCGTTGTTCACACTGACATTAATCCATTCTTTGATTTTAGTATTCAGACTAACACTTGGTAGTGGGGCCTACAATAATTTATCAATAATTATTGATATTTTCTATCAATACTACTTGGATGAAAAAAAAAAAACGAGACTGATTTTCTTTCTGCGCAGTCGACACGACATTTCAAAGGATTTTGCAGATTGCTAGCTTGAAGAAGAAAGTCAATCAAATGGATTGAACCTTTGTTCACAAATGCAGAGAGTGGTGGAAAACATACTTATTGTATGGTCGGGGAATTGGAAGTATTTTGGCACCACTTTATTAGTTTTTGATTTTTCTTTACCGTGTGTAATTCATCGCCTCACAGGGGAAAGGTGTCCTCAACACTGCTGGTTGTGTACATGTGGTTACACTGAACCGTATTCTTTATGGGTGAATAAAGGTTTTCCCAGCACAATCCTTTCAAAGGGTTTGCCTTGACATCTCAGAATGTGCTACTCCTAGTGAAGCCGAGGAACTACAGCGGCAGCGGTCTGGTTTGTCTGAAAGATGTGAGGCAAATATTCCAATAATCTGTTGAAATACACATGAGAATCAATACCAAACCCTGTGAAATATGAGGCGTGAACTTATATCCCTAAGGCCAATACAACTGAGATCAATAATTCTAGGAATCTATGCAACCTAGCCAACTAGGAAGGTCAAGGCAGAACAAATAATCATAACACAAATGAACTGTGTAACCTCTGCGAAAAAGGAGGTCGAAGTGAGGGTGTAGTTCACTGAATATGTCAGCAAATGCCCCAGGAACTAGAGGGGAGAACACTATTCCCAGAGGAAAACAGCGGTGTGCACAGAATAAAGCCAATGAGCTGTACTTTATACCCAAATCATTTCATACTGCATAAAAACATTAACATGAAAATTGTTAGCATAGAAAGTCCTCTATAAAGGAAATCAAAACGTTGAGAACAGAAACATAGATACGGGATAGGAAGGCGAGATCGTTCACGATGAATGTTTAAGCTTCAGTCAAAGGTAGTGCAGAAGTTTTTAACCTGGATACGAAGGTGGTCGAAGTTGGTGCAAGTCCAACCACCCCTGGACGTTAGTTCCAGCTCTGTGGCGCACAGTGACTTACCGCTGCTTCCCCCGGGTTTAATCTGCACTCTGGGACCATTCAGCAGCCCCCAAAGGCTGAGAGGGTTCATGTCGTAAAGGACAGTCAGAAGCATTTTGGTCCGAAGCCATTGAGAGATTTATAGACATGCAGCAGTACTTTAAACACTCTTCTCTGACACGCTGGAGGAGACCTAAGAACCGGTGTTGAGCTCTCTCAGCCTTTGTTAGGACTCTAACAGTTGCTTTCTGAATAAACTGAAGTAGGCTGAGCGGTTCTACAGACAATACATAAAATCGTACCATTGTGGTTGTATATGTAAACTGATTTGCATGACATTGGAGTATTAATGGCTGATTTAGTACCTTTCATTTAAGGGGTTAGTCAGTCTAAGTTCTACATTATAAATCTTAAGTTTCACTTTAAAGTTACTACAAGGAACATTTTACTGGTTATGAAACAGTCTGAATTTAATACTGATGCCTCTATATGACTTAAATAAGCAAACAAGACAGAATCAGTGAGAATATTGGCTATATGACAGTTCTTAATGTAATCGGGTTTGAGAACTATATACGGCACGAAAGTTGATCAGAAACTCCTTCAGCTCAGACTCCAGTGGGGCCTCTAGCAGCGACCCGGCTGGCGCGTTCAGATACGCCTTCGACCTGCAGTCGGAGCTCTGGCGAGAGGTTGAGAGCTTTGCACCCGGCAGCAGCGTCTCCTCCTCGGTGCCAGAAGCAGAGCTTCTCCTCGCTGCTCCGCTGCTGGGAGCCAACTCCAACACCGCGCTGCTGTTGCTGAGCCCCGAGAGGGAAGGGAGGCACGGAGGAACCAGAACCAAGACCGAGGAGGGCAGACTGTCAGACTCTGCTGCAATGAGAGGTTGTCTAAAGGGACACTTGCCCAAATTCCTCACAAAATTTAAGTTTAAGGTGAAATTGAAGTTTTGGTTCATCGCCGTTTGTGCTCGGCGTTTGTGCTCGGCTTTTGTGCTCGGCTTTTCCGCCCGGCTCGGCTTTTCAGCACTATTGATTCAGCATTTGTCCGTGGTGCTTTTGTTGCCAGAGCGTGATTTAACCCTCACAGGTGCATTGACATGGCAATGCCATTCTTAATCTTGTAATTTAAAGTGCGTTAAAGCTCATTCACAGAGGGCAAAGCGAGGGAAGAACATGCCGAGATAGTCTCCGCAGTGCACTAGTGTTCTCGCCGACGTACTGCTTTTCAACGGCTGTCGATCTTGTGTGGACCTTTAGAAGTAATAGACAAATCACACAAAACACAGAAGTGATCTGATATAGCAAGGTCAGTTGCAATACCATTTGTAATATTAACACCCTCAGTGATGGTGAAAAAAAAAAAGGTCTCTTGCTCGGTTTTGAAGTAAGATAAGTCACAGCGCCAGAGCAGAATACAATCCCCCAGCCCAGATGATCTAACAACACAATCAGGACTTTTTCACACAGCATATCCTCTTTCAGGACTGGAGGCACAGAGGCAGTGAGCAGAACTTCCTCTGCAAACAGACATAGCAACCGAGGTGCGTCTGCCTCTCCAGTGATGACAGCACAGAGAAAAAGCCCCGCTCCTCATGACGGAGAGAACGAAGTGGTTGGAGGCTTTAAAAAAAAAAAATCAGTGTCCTTGCTCTCTATGTTGTTCATGATTTATTTATGAAATTGAAACAGTTCAAGTTTTTCCAAGGAGCAGATAAAACATCAAACAACTCTATCTGTGTGCTGTCAGTGTAAAAGCGTGTTTGAAAAAAGGTGTCCAGCACCTTATTGGTCAGGGTCCCTGCTGACTGAACTGCAGAAGGGACTGTGATGAAATGTTAAGAGGGAAAAGGAAATACCTTTGACGGTGACGCTTCCTGTGCTGCTTGCCACGCCAAACTGGTTTCTTGCCACACAGGTGTAGAGGCCTGCATCAGACTTGGTTGCATTCCATACCCGAAGGTTACCGTTGTCCAAGATGGAGACCCTGTTGTTAAAAAAAAAAAACAATTTATATTACAACCATAGCATCAGCTTGTTCCTGTTTGGGGGCGAGGCTGTTCTGAATGCCCGCCCAATCAGAACGGGTCTATTGCTTGGCTCCCAGTATTGCTGTCTTGTGGGTGGGCATGCCCGTTCGGAGTGCATGGCGTGCCCGTTTGGAGCAGGCCAATTGCTTGGCCCTGGGAAGTTCTGCTTGTAACTATATCTTCCGGGGAAGTGAAGAAGACTTTGCGGTTGTAATGTTAGTAGATCCAGCATGCAGCAGCAAAAGTGAACTGCAATCAATTAGCCGCGGCCTGTAAAGGACCTGTGCAGACGTCATTGTCGACCCAGTCTGCAGAGCCATGAAGCCGCGACTCCACTGCTGCACAAATCACTGTTTGCTTGTTTATTGTGTCCAAATTGCATCTACTTCAATACTGCACGCCCTTTTGTCCCCAGCAATATACCTCCTAAGTGTGAAGCACATCGGATGAACGGTTCATGAAATATGCAGAGGACACACAGATCCCTTGCTTTAGCTGCTGCTAGGCACACATTGTAAAATTTCAACCGTAGCATACAGTAGGGTTGACTTAACAGCAGAGACAAGTGACTAACACAGCAGGAAACATTTCTCAGTGTCTCTAATTAAGTTCTGCTTCTTTGCAGATCACAGCGATGAGTAATAGGATTGCATTTTCAAGAGTGATTAATTCCGCACATGACTTGGAGATATCTAGGACAACAGTGGCTTCATGCCCTTTATACAATGGCCACAAGTGCTCCAAAAGAAGGGCCTTACAAAACTTGACATTTTCTAAATAACAAGCAAATATGGAAATTGTGCCCTTGAAAGCAAGGTACTGGGGGAAATCAAGGGTGGACCGAGTCATCAAAGCACACTGCATTTTAATTATCTGAATGCTCTGCTGAATCTGCAAACTGTAAATATGAAACGGCGTCAGCCTGATTGTTAGGGGGGGGGGGGGGGGGGGGGGGGGGGGGTGAAGTATGGACTGTAAATTGGTCAAAGGTGTCACGGCGAATATATTCATATTCACAGTTAGATGGCAGCGAGGGTGTTAGAGAATCAAGCAAACTGAGGAATAGAAATTTAGTTTAATGCCGGTTCTTATTTTCATATACAGACGCAGGCATGTTTGCATTATTTCACACATATGCCGGAACAATTAATCTGTAATTTCAAAGGAGTCACTCAAGATGACAAACCCATAATTATAATAAGATTAAAAATAATTAAAAAAAGGTTAATTAGCACAGGACTCTGCAGTTCCCCTCAGCTCTACAGAGCGTTTTAGCATCTTTCAACTCACTGTTTTGTTACGGTTCACTCACAACAATCCTGTTTCCAACTACAGAAGGTAGCTTTGTAAACCCAAATACAGAAAGGAAAAGTCAGATTACTTGGTGAATGTAGTGCAGAATTTAGTAGCTAAAAAAACAGATATTTTTCCTCTGGGGTTTGATTTGCACCCCTTTAGGCAACACGTTCTCACTGTCAACTCGAATATGGCATTTTGCATGTGTAATTTTTGCATGTGTCAATTCATGCTTGTTACATGGATAAACTATCTTTTCAAAATAAGTTTATTTAATAATAAGAATAATTCCGTTTTCACAGGAAAAGATTATGGTTTGTGTTCAAATGAGTGTTTGTTCCAAAGTTACGCAACCCAGAAACGTTAAGTAACTAGGTTGCATACACGACGCAGTCAAATTACAAAACATTATGTAATGTTGTGTAACTTACAATTTTTCATTGTTGACTTTTGGGTTCAGACATGACCCATGGGTTAAAGTCCTGTGTATTTTGACCCAATCTTCCACCTACCTTCACCCCACACAGACTTTATCTCCCTTTATACTACTTAACCTGACTTTCTCCTTTACTCCCGGCGTAACCACGGCCGAATAGAGCGCCATAGTTTGGTCGTTTGGAGTCACTGACCAATCCGCCGTATTTGAAGAGTTGGGTACGAGAACGGGCTGCTTCAGTTGAAGTGGTTGGCGATTCCTTTGACCCCTTGGATTTACTTACTGTAAATCACCAATGGCTTAACAATTTCCTATTTTCACATCATGCCATGTCGCTGGCCACATGGTGAATGGTTCCCTCTCATTTTAAATCTGGGTCTTTTGCTGCTGTATGTTCCACCTGAATGTTCCACTGTGTTCCCCACTTAGTCGGTAACTTGACTAAAACATCAAGCTGAAAGGTGGTTCTGTCTAAGTGTCTGTCACTGTAAGCTACTCCTTTTACCGACAAGCAGTAAAACCATTGATTAAAGCTTCAACTCTTTCGAAAAAACTTTCTTCTTTTTAACTAATGTCAAATTTCATGTCACTTTTCTAGAACTTGCATTTAAACCCATTCTTCTTACTAGATAATTGGCTATTCCTTTTACCCTGCACAGTTTTAACTGTAAAGCACCAATTAAAACAATTGGTAAATTCAAAGTAACAGACCCCGTGTATCAGCCAACAACTCTTTAGAATGATGTGCCTCCCTAAAGCCAGGTGACACTCATTCCTCTACTGCTTTTGATTGGTTCAAACAACCATTTGACAGTAAAAGATAATTGCCGGTGCATTCTGAGCTGAAACGGAGAGGAGTTTATTAGCCATGGAGGAAGTCTGACACATCGTACAGAAAACAGTTCATCAGCTCTCTGTCTGTTGTGAGCAGGATGTTTTCCTGTTTGCAGCAGTGATGCATTTAACTGGATGTACTTGTCAAATGCGGTTGATACGGTGTGACATAGTGTTACATCCCCCCCCCTCCTCCTCTGCTGCTTCACTTCTTTTTACAAGTGGTGGATGTGATAAGAAAATGCAGAGACACTTAGTGTGGGAGAATCTACTTCTAAAACCACATGGTGCTGCTGAGTGGAGACTTCTCTGGGTTTTTAAATCAGGCTGAGAGAAAAGTGCTGAATGCAAAGCAGCCAACGATGACCATCAGTTACATGGGAGGCATATTGCCGTGTGGGATGGCACGCAGTTAATGACGTCCAACCATGGGGGCTGATCAATTTGAAGAAAACGGCCCATTAAATGGCACCTCGGTCCTATAACTGGCCATTAGCCTGAGCAAAGTAAGCACAATTAATACAACTCCTATACATTAATTACATTGCATTGCCGGCGCTCTGTATATAAAGCGAAGTTTGTCTGATGGCTCATGATGTCTAAAGGTAACAGGGAATTTTCACCACATATGCATATATTATCAATTAACTAGTGGCCTTTTTTTGCATTCAGTGAGAGTGAACACAAAGGGGAAACACATTATTTTCAACTGCAACAAGCTCCGAGTTAACCAGCATAAGGTACACAGCAATACCTCCACATAACATCGATTATGTCGACAAACTGCCAAAAGCGAGATGCAGCATCAGAACTTAGTGTGTCTCAGGCGACCTTGTGTGGTCCGCTCAAACGACGAGAAACAGACGGCTGCCAGTAATGGAGACAGAAAACAAAATGTATAAAGAGAACTGGATACAGCGTTGGTGGTGGGGACCCGTTCATTCCTATTAAAGGAATGAAGTGAAAGAAGTTAGACGACCAAGTATAAAAATCGGATAAAACTTCTGGAGATTGTCACATAGAGCAAGCACACTAGCGTTTCCTTTAACCCCGCCTCCCAGCCTTCGGTTCAGCCTCGGCCTCATTCACATGAACGGATGAAGGAAAGCTATTTTGGATTTGGCTTTTTGTGTATTTTACAACCTTTTAGGAGCTAATGATTCAAATAAGGGTTACTCAAGTGTTGAATGACCCTAGCCGTTGGAATGCGGATTTGCCTAAAATGAAAAAATCCTTTGTGGATTTAGAGACGTCTCTTTCCCGAAGCAAGTCGATGGGAAAAAGGTTTTTTTTTGGCCCAACAGCATAATGTAACGGAGGCGGAAGCTACAATTCCATCGCTTTGCCATTATATAAAATTAGCATGAGAGCCCGGTCTTCCGCTCTTACTGAAGGTTTGGAAAGCACCTGTTGTTGAAGCCGCCCTCTGCAGGTCATTGATAATGGCTGGTCACATAATACCCCTTGAGCGGGCCCCAAGTAAGCTATGTTTTGTATACAGGTCCATAATGTATTATCATGTATTTGAATCATACACAGTACAGTAATTTAATTCATACTGTAATTTTGAAAAGCATTTCAAACAGCTGCACTGTATTTTGAAACAGTCAATAAAATCCGTCTCACTACTTTATATTCATGACATAAAAATACAAATGTCAATTAGGCATCTGCATGAGAAATAAAGAAAAGGAAACAAACCCGTTATAATAATCATCCGCTGATCGTTTTGATCCGGACAGACTATGATCACTACGGTTTCCACTGTAGCTGCACTTGTGCTTTGCGCTCTGAATATCCACAATCTCTTTGTCCTGAGGGACGAAATAGCAATCATGTGACCTGTGAACCGTGCATCTTGTAAGAGGAGGCGGACAAGTGGTGCCGCATGCGAGCACAATGGCTCTTACAGGGAGATAAATCCTCAGCAGCCCCCCTGTGGAGCCAAGACTGCATGTTCTTAGCCATTCACTGCATTGCCTACTTTTTTTTTTTTTGAAGCGCTATATGAAGATCAGAGAGGCACTTTCCTTTCCCTTTCAATGACTGCAAAGGAAGAGCAGTAGACCGGCTGTCTGCATAAGGGTTCGTCATCGGAGTATGAAGCTAATGGAAGAGCAGATGAGGTCAAACACGGTGGAAGTCGACCAAGGCGCAGCGGTTGTGAATAAGATATGGAGGCTTATGATTAACATTTTTCAGTTTTGCTCCTGCTTTTTATTTTTATTTTTTCTCGTCTCTGCCCTGACAACATGTCCGCGCGTCGTGCCCATTATGTGAGTAGACATTTCCCACCTCCTTCCCCAAAGAGAAGCCAGCGGTGGGGCAGGTATCAATAATTCACAGGTGAGGTGAACACGAGTGCCACTTCTTTCATCCCGGCCTCACACG